CTAGAAACATGAGTTCAGGCAAGTTATTTTCCAATTCTCAGTAGTTCAGGTCATAGTCTGGAAAAATTCCAATTCAAATCAGAGTTTACACTTGTAAAACAGAAACCTTTAAGAAAAAAATGTTTAAATATTATTACCTTAGTGCCCTTATTTACATTTTTACATGTTGTCATTCAGTCTTTATCAAGCATATAAAAGTTTACATAGTTGCACCCATATCATAATAGTATTTGGATTTTTTTCCTTTCAATTCTATTTTAAGCATCTCATCTAATTGGACCACAAATCCTTAAGGGAAAAAGATGGGCGAGGGGAATGTCAATGCTTCTACATAGTCTCCATAATTCTCACTACAACAGAAGTCCTAAATGTTAAGACAACTTTAAGAGGTTGGAGGAAACAAGAGATTTAGTGCATGCGGTGATGCTGTTTGGAATATGTTACCAAAGGAGCTAATGCAAAGTCCCAGGGTAGAAGAAGGAGCATCTGGCCAAGAAAGAGGTACAGGGAAGAGAAAACACAGCAACATCTGGTCTCTAAATGTGCCAATGTGAAAAATTCTCAGAGCCAGTTAGCCAGGGTTATGGGAAAGAACAAGCAGGCAAAAACTATCTGCCAAAAAAAAAAAAAAAAATCTGGCTTTGTCAGAAAAGAAAATACAATAATACAGAAAATTCCCTATACTCAATCTTCAAACAAGAATTTTGGATTTAATATGCAGCAAAATGGTTGAAGCAATTTATGGACAGTAGAAGAGAAGAAATAGTTAAAAGGGCAAGCCTTGAAAAGGAGAACCATGACATGAGAGGAAAGACTCTTTTTTCTTCCAAAAGGGAAGTGATGATGTGTGATCATGCAAATGCAAATGTCTGTGGACAGCACAGTTTGCTGCTGGGAAGGGAATTTTAATGTGTACCCTATGCAAATGCGTTTTATAATAAAACAAAATATGCAAGGCTTCTGAAGTAGGGAGGGAAGAGGAGAGCAGTGGCTTGGACACTGTGCCTGAGAGGGCCAGGGGTGGGGTGGGGGTATGGAGCCAGGGGAACACAACACTCTGGGACCCTGAACAAATTCTAGGAGAGAGGGCATGTCAAAACCCACTCCTTCCAAAAAAAATCTCCCTCTAATGTTTGAGAACTGGATGCCTGATGAATTAATACCTGCAAAATCTTTCTTTACTGAGTACTTAACCTCGAGCAATTCTCCGTGCTTAAAGTGAACTCAGTAAGAAGATGTTAAAAACAAGTTTCTTTTCTGTACTGAGTCATGGGGAAAATTATATGAACTGTACAGAAAAGACGGGAGATGAATATAAAGACAGCTCCTGCAAAGCGTTTAGAGTCTTTGTATCAAAATTAGCATGAGTGCCAAAGCCCGTGTAAGGCCCAGTCTTGGGCACTTACGAAGAATGAGCAGGAGGCTGGCCCACACTGCTGAGAGTCTGGTTTTGACCAAGAGATATTTATTCATATCTGTATATCTTGAAGCAAATTATCAAAAAGAAATTGAGAAACAATCTGTCTCTCCGGGATGGAGATATTTAAGCCAGCCATTTTGAAAGTGTTAAAAAATTAAAACTGCAGAAAGCCGAACCATAGGTGCCATGTTTTGCCTGAAGTGGTAAAAATACCATCTGCCTCAGTCTTTTAGCAGCATGCTTGCTTCAAGTAGCAGTAGGCTAAACTACAGGCATACGCTCAGCTCCAGCTGGGGAAAATACACAGACGTTTGTAGATGTTTTTCTAAGTAAGAGTAGTCAACATATTCATTTTCCTTTAGACGTATGTATTAGTTACCATAGCAAACCAAGAGTGAAACTGGCCTGGGAAATGTCTCCACTGGTCCCAACATGTGCCCGTGAATCTCTACAATTCAATAGGTGGCACTCTTTCCTCTAACACTGAACTCAATCTGCTGTGCTTAACCTGGGGCCAGGAGCCTGGGGAACACGGAACAGTCCGAGAGATAGGTACGCAGCGCTGCAGACCAATTACTGTAATTTAAATCCCCACAGTACTGCGCCATTTATAAGCAAAACCGTCGGCATCAGTTTTCTGGTCACAAGTCACTTCTAGTAATTATATTCTGTCCAATAAAACTTCTCCTGCAGTTTTAACTAGGTAAGTAAGATGCTCCTTGTTTTTCCATTTTTGAAGCCACTGGGTAGAAATGCCTTCTAGTTGAGCAGCTTCCATCCCTGCCCAGCCCCAGGTGGATGAGCTTCAAGAGTGGGTCGAGTGCTCCGGTGCTGGTGTTGACCACGTTACAGAGGCAGAAGAGACTTAATGAATTAATAGTTGTTGTGTGCTTTGATATCTTTAGATGAAAGGCACTGCAGCAGTGTAAAGCATTCGTACCCAGGCTCTGTCGCAACAGGAACTTAATTAAGAAGTAATTCAATTTCTTTTCTGAGTGAGGACAAACCACTGTTTTGCTAAATGTGACAGACAGTCTCGAGATCAAGCTGAGACTGATTTTGAAATGATCGCCTCTTCTGGCCTCTCCCTTCCACGCCATTCTGAGACTGATAAAATTTGAGAGATGGCATACAAAGCCACAGAGTACATGGCCAAAATAATTTTCTATGGTTCTTAAAATCTGATTTTTTTCAGATAAAATATGGCTTTTGTGTAAATACACACCACTTGGAAATAAAGAAATTTCCAGCAAAAAATACATTTCACGATACTCTCTAGAAATAGCCACTGAATTTTTCAAATGTAGTTTTAAAGATAAACCCACCACGGAGCCCTAAGCTGCCAAGCATGATGCCTGCATCAGTCAGCATGAGTACCAGGATCATACCACGGACTCATGACACACTACATAGAAACAATACTGCAAGCTGTACCCTGCAGGCATCTCCCTGATACTTGGCAGAGATGGATATAATCTTTTTTACCCACGTTACTTGAGTTTGGGTCTATGTATACATGATAGGCCTGGATTAATCGCCTAGATCAAGTTGTGCCCTTAAATATCAGAATAGCACCACATATTTCAGTGGAGTGGGTTTCTGTTTACAGGCATGAGAAACACTCACTAGGCACTTGGGAAGGCAACCTTAGGGCTGCTGAACATAGGAATGAACTGTGTTATATATATTCTTTGAATGGCTAATTTGAGTCTACAATCCTCAATTCCAGACCTCGACCTCCTACACTTCTTCTAGCCCAATGCTAATGCAGCACGCGTCCACACGCATTTGTCAAGCACCCCTACATGCCAGCCTGTGCTGGGTACAGACGAAGCAACCATGGACAAGGCCATCGAGGGCCTTGCCTTCAGGGCTCTTAGATAAAAAAAATAATTTTAGATTATGATAAATGTTAAGAAGAAAAAAAGACAAAGCAAAGGGGGACTTTGGATAGGAAGGTCTGAGTCAAGGAAGCATGTGAGGCCAGGCCTGTGTCAATCTTATGCAGGTAGCAGTCAGCCCCAGCCCAGGGCCTTGCACGTACAAAACATCAGCCACATGGTGCTTGGGTGGATGAAGTGGATGAATGAATGAATCTGGATCTCAGTAGTACACAAGATAAGAATATTCCCCTCCCTAAAATAAGAATGTCTCCTCTCAAGTTTGGGCCTCAAGAGTAGAGCAGCACTGCTCTAAACTGCTTCTTTTATCCTAAGGAAACTGAGGGAAGACCAAAAAGGTTAAGTCACTGATAACAGATTTTGCAGTGAGTTGGTGACAAGTCTCTGGAATGTTTGCTCAATTTTGCCGTGAACTTAAAACTGCTCTAAAAAATAGTCTATTAAGAAAAAAAAGTGACCAGAGATGTCAGGAAGATGCTGAGTTCAGTTTAAGACGTTTTGAGCTTCTTTGCCTGGGGGGGACTCAAGAGGTCATGTTCACAGCCCACCTTTGGGAGCAAGGCTCAAGCAGACATCTACGATGGAGTGACAGATACAGAAGTCCTCTGTTTAGAGGTGCTTCTATTAATCTAGTTTTCCTGAAGAAAGCAAAAATTTGAGATAGAGAAAAGGAGGAGCTGCATCTCAGGCAAGGACAAGCAGCAGGGTAAAGGCACTGAGCCACGGGTGTGCACCTCAGGGCTGTCAGGAGAGCACCAGGTTCTGGACGAGCCCTGGAGAGATCACAGAGGGTTTCAGTTGTCCCACTACAAGCAGAGCCCTTACAGGTCGTATTTCTTCCTCCTTGTCTTTAGAATGCAGGTGTGCTCACACTGGCTATTCCTGACTATTGCAAAAACTCCAGATGGTTAGCATGTTCCTTTAGCCAGGCAGCTGTATGCACCCCACACATCTGCTAAAATATTCCATTTGTTCCTCAGGAAAAAACAGAACGTGACACAAGTATGTTCACAGGCTTGCACTGGGGCACTGAAATCAGAAATCCTGCAGCAGTTTTTAAACAAGGCTGTGTGTCAGAATGATCTGTGGTGACTTTTTTTCAAACCCTTACATCCTGCCCCTGCCCTGCTCTGCTCACCAGGGGATTCTGATGTTGGTGAAAGAGGGTACGATGCTGTGGTAACCCAAACATGTATGTTTTCAAAAGCTCCACAGGTGATGTGAAAACTGCTGCCTTTAAGAATCCAAATCTGCCCTGTACGGTGCTTCCTAGGTATTATCTGATAATGCTAAAAGCTGTTTCCCCTAGTCCAAAGGCATCTTTCCAGTGACGGTTAGTGATCTTATTTAGCTTATTTTTCTTCATAGCACTTACTACCATCTGACATTATATTATATATTCATTTAGTTGTTTATTAGTTATCCATCTCCCCCACTAGCTTGTAAATCATGAAAGAAACAGCTGATCTGGTTCACTCTTGTATTCCCAACACCTAACACAGTGTCTGGAATAAGGTAGGCATGTAATAACCTTGTCGCTAAATGAATCCTATTTTACCTGCCTATGCCTGTTACTTAACTGAATGTGATGGTTCTCTTTTAACCTTTCAAATACAAATGAAAACCAAATACCAAAGTGAAGTGTATAAAACTCTGTGGAATGTACAAAATCTACCTACCTTAGCATAGTCTAATCTTCCTTTCTCTTGAGCCTAAAATAGAAGAGAGGGAAATTAATTAGCATTTCTATAACTTTTGCTTTTCAAAGAATAAGTCAACTCTCTCTCCCTCTCTCCTATCTCTATATATCTATATAATGAAAGATACATAACTTTCAAACATATTGAAAAGTTGACAGAACAGTACAATGAATGCACACATACACGCTATCCAGATCGGATGTAGCAGACACCATGACTCTTCACCCCTCCATGCTTCCGCACACATCTTGTAAGCAGAGGACATCTCATACATGATCATTTTCAAATTAAAAAAACTAACAGTAATGCCATATCATCTAACATACAATCCATATTCAAATTCCTCCAACTGTCCCAAGAACATCTTTTACAGCTTTTTTTCTCAAACTGGAATTAAGCAAGATTCACAGACTGCATTTGGTTTTCTTTTAATTAATTAATTTATTGAATGCATTTGGCTTTTATGTCTCTGGTTAGCCTTTTAAATCTAGCTTCCTTTCCCCATTTGTCAAGAAATGAAAATCGTTAACGTTTTTTTCATGAAAATAATTGACTTTTTGAGGTGACCAGGGCAGCTGTCTTATCAAATGTCTCTCTTTTTGGATCTGTCATATTATTTCTTCATTGTGTCATTTAACTTGTCCTTGTTTTGCTTACAAACTGAAACCTGGGTCTGAAGGAGCTTGCTTGGATTTAGGTTAAACATGTTTGGCAAGAATCCTTCCTGCGGAATATTATGTACTGCATAATGCATCAATTCCGGAGGTAGAAAATGTCAGGCTGTCCCACTCCTGGTAATGCTATACGTTTGACCACTTGGTTAGAGGGGTGACTATCAGGTGGTTCCACTGTAATGACATATTTCCTTCTGTTCAATTAGTAAGTAATCTGGTGGGGTCAATTTTTTCCCATTTTTCTTGGCATAATTTTTATTATGCCATGTTATGTCAAAAGACCCCCACCTCCATTGCACCTTCACCAGAGATGAGGAGAGAGAAGAAAGCTGAGGGTGAGGAGACATCCATCCTGTATGAGGTCAAATTTTATTTAAAAATATTTTTAGTTATTAAAAAACAATTTAAAATTAAAACATATACTCAAAAGTGTTACACATCAAATCTGAACATAATAGAGACAACCAATGTGTTAGTCTTTGCTGGTAGGTCAGCTCATTTTTTTGTAGACTTCACAATAAAATTTCTCCTGCCACATCTGCACAGAACAAGAGCCCTTCAAGTTACAGACTGGTGAGGTCTTGAGACCATTTTGTTCCTTAGTTCAAAATGACACTACATAGATAATGAACATGGGCAGATTACTTTCATCAGAGAAAATGCGATCTGTATAACACTAGTCCTGACTCTTCTTGCTTCTTTATAATCTTTCAAAAATTTATCCAAAGATGCTTGCATTTTTCCTATTTTCATAATAAGCAACTTATAATAAGACATTGGCACCGTCACAAATGCTTCTGAATAAAAATTGAGACTTGCATGGTTTCAATGAAACAAAAGGCCTCTGCAACCAATGTACTATTAAAAAAAAATGGGAGTTTTCAATCTGCTCTTCAAAGATTTTTTTGGGATCCAGAATTTTCAGTGAACTAAGAAGAGGTTGAACTTAATCCTGAGATGCAACATACCAGCATGAATATGAGTCAGTTCTTGCAGATCTGTAAAAACCAGGTTTATTCTTCTCTCTGATCAGATATTTCATGCTGACTTGTTTGTCTGTCTATGGACATCTTTTCCCAAGAGGAAATAGTTTTGTCTATACTCCCCACCCTCTAACTTCTGCAGGCAGGGTAGGGAGCCCCTGAGCTCATCTGCATAGTGCACTCATGACCCAGCTACTGACTTTCACACTGTGCAAATATGAACTGGCCTTGATCCTATGAATAATCCATGGCTTGTGACCAAAACTTCAGCAGCAGCATTTCACAACGTGCTGTCTTTAAGTTCTCAAACTCCCGGCTGTCTCTCAAATTCATTTTAGGTTAAGAGTTATCCAACATGGAGGCCAATCCTGTGGTCACAAGTTTTCCACCTTGTTCATCTTTTCAATTGTTCATCCTTCTCCTAACCTTGCTGATTAGCATGGGCTGCTCAGGCACAGTGCTCTTCCAATGACGCACAAACTGGGAACTCTATGGATTACTCCTACCATCAAACAACTCATTCTGGAAACACATCTGCCACTTCCTCACTACCTTCAATCTTTTTTCCGCTCTAACCAGCTCCTCTTTGTTCTAGAGCCTTTAACATTCTCATCTTCCAGTGTTTAACACAAAGGACATGTTAAAAGCATTAAAACTGGTATTTGTTGAAAGTTAGAAAGTTGAAAGTAGAAAGCTTTCAGATCTTGAGGCTACAAGGTAAAAGTGTGGAGAAACTAATTTATATGATTTGGGTGGATTTTTCTTTTCGGAGGTATTGAGCCATTTCCTTGTTTGTCTCAGGAAAAAAAAATTCAACAGCAATTTCTTCAGGTAGTAAAAGTGACTATAATACTGTTTGTAGGTAAGCTAGAGTAGTTCTATCACAAATTTTTGTAAAACCATTTTTCCCATCACATACTTTGCTTATAAACTAATCATCTCAGAGAATTCCATTGATCTGAAGTACTTGTGCTTAATCAATCACAAGCTATTTTCTTTTTTTTTAAATTGAAGCATAGTTGATTTACAATATTATATTAGTTTCAGTTGTACAACATGGTGAATCAATATTTTTATGGAATCACAAGCTATTTTCAAACTCTCTCATTTTATTTTGTATCCTTTCTTGGCCATCACCCTTTCACCCAGTAGAGATATACTTTACTGGGGATGGCGGCACTGAAACACCATGTATGAAAATCTGTATTTGCTCAACATCAGCTCTTGAGTGTTTTGAAAGCTGAGACTAGAAGCCTACATAAAATGACAGCATGACTGCCACAGCCATTACGATCTGAACAGACTGTAAGTGTTGGTATGCAGCTCACCTGAATGTTCTTTTTATTTTATCACAACAAACATTCCAGTCCTGCAAAACCATTTGATCCCTGACTTCTTTCGCTTGTACATAAAAGTATCATTTATTTTATAAAACAAATATTTAGGTCTTTACAGGTATATGATATATATTTCCAGCTGCTATGTGAGTTAATGTCTATGTATGCCAGACACACACCTGAAAGTACACACCCTGATATAAAATTTTTTTTCACAAAAAGCTTTTAGAGTTTATAATACACAGCAAATTGGAAACAAATGCAAATGATGATTTAATTGCCTCCATAAATATTTCTCATTAAACATTGCCGATTCTGTTTCTCTGTAAAATAGTTAATTCACGAGGGTTGGGGGCATAGTTTCTGTCGCACCTGTTGGTGCTCATTCACTCAATACTTATCTATTGTGTACCTACTATGTGTTAGGTACTGCTTAGGCATTGGAGACACAGTCAGAAACAGAACAAACAAAAATCGCTATCCTCTAGGGGGCTGCGTAGTCTTGTTTTCTCAAGCAATCTCCCTCTAGAACTTAAGCGCCATGAGAGCAGGGATATTTTCTCTCCTGCTCAGGACTGTTTTCCATGTTAAGATCAGTGCTGGTAGATAGCAGATGGTCAGTAATATCTGGTGAATGAGTGAATAAAAGGATAAATGCTTTTTCTTTATAATCATTGGTTATATACTGCTTATTCAGGAAACTTAGAAAGCAAAGTTCCTATTACTCACTCCTAGGTCCAGGAAAGCTGGGAGTTTAGATACAGTCAGAATGTAGTTAATGTGGAGACATTATCTGGTGCCTTACAAATAATTTTTACTTACAAATACTTTATTGAACAATACCATATTTTGGCTTTATTACTCAACTTCTATTTATAAGTAGACTAAAGAAGGGAATCTATAGAAAATAAATTCAAAGAGTTCATCAAACACAAACAACAAAAGGACAGAACAGAGAAGAATGATCTAGTAGCCATCTCACTGATGCAGCGGCCTAGACTAAGTGCCTCAACCTTGATACCAGTGTACTGAAGGGAAAAGCGCCTGAATGGAGGTCGGGAGGTCTCAGGAGATTTCACGTGCACAACTCAAAGCCTCAGGTGCTAAGTAGGCCCTTTCTATGGAGGGGAAGCAAATGGCCTAAGATCTTAACGGTGACCACTCTAAAGAGGCACTGTGACCTCCCGGGAAGTGGATCTGCTGGGAGCCAGAAAATATGGTTTCTAGTCCATAATAGGTTAATACCTCAAGTAATTTAAACATTTTTGTGTGGGTCTTCATTTTCCTATCTGTAAAATAAGTGTACTGGGCCAGACCAGGCATTCCCAAATGCTGGGCTCTCACAAATGCTGAGCTGACTGTATCAGAATCACCTGGGTAACTTGTTAAAAATGCAGATCCTCAATACTGTAGCCCTGAATTCTGACTCATTTGAGGATCACTGGTGTGGACTGTGTCTAATGTCCTTTACAATTTATGCTTCTGTATGAGTCATTGTTTACTTCAAAGGCTAAAAAGAGAACAACTATATAAACTCTTTAAAGTTTCAAGGAGAATGGAGTGCTGTAACTTTCCCCCCTTCTTCTGACATCTGCCACTTACCATGTATATTTCTAGCAGAGCAAGATATTATTAAAATAGCTTTCTCACTGGGGCCCAAAATAGGCTGATATAAAATAAATGCAGACTGTATTTCAACAGCCAGCAGTCCTGAACCTCTTCCTGCCACACTGTTCATCTCCAGAAGACACTGTAAATTCTGCCACACATGGCAATTCCCTGAGGGCTTCATTACTTGGGTCTTTAAAAGGGATTCACTCATCTTTTACCTCCTGTAGGTGTGCTTCTTGTCAATCCAGGTCACGCGAAAAGAAAGTAATTTTTCCCAGTCTTTAGCAGTTCACAGAGAATGTGTGGTTTGAACCTTGTTTTATCTTAAAAAAATGTGAACATAGACAAGCTAGTGTGCCAGCGCTCATGACACTGTCAGGCCTCCTCCGACAGCTACGGCGAGCACT